CATTCACCTTTGTGGAGGAAACGAGTTTTTACCAATTATGTAAGTTAAGTTATCATATCATATTTCTTGTGGGTAATACCTGTCTGAAGGTAGTTATTCATGTCTAGTAAATAGATTAAAAAGAAATTTGGACCAACAACAATTCCTTGTATCATTCCAGATGCACGGTACTTCCATGAAGAGGACAGATTTGAAATATTTGCCTCCTGTTTATAAATCAAACACTCACCCATTACACTTGTTTACTTGCCTTCGTTTTTAATTTAGATTTTAATTTTTTCACCATACCTTTTTTCAAATAAATTTTTACAAAAAAAGTAATTTTTTTGTTAAAATTTATATTTTATTATTAGTTAAAAATGTAATTCATTACGCAGTGAAATTTGAAATTTTTTTTAAAATGATGATTATTTTCGAAATTTTTATGAAATTTTTCTTCTTTTGAGACCCAACATGATATTAATATATATATATATATATATATATATATATATATATATATATATATATATATATATATATATATATATATATATACGCACTATAGTGTATATATACACTATAGCATATTTGTATGTATACATACAAATATACAAATACCATAATGTATTGCACAAACAGTTTAGTTGTAATAACACAATAAACACTTTACACAAACAATTTAATTGCAAAAATGCTTTAATAAAGCTAGACAAAGTTTAGGTATATAAATAAGTTTTAATTAGTAAAAATTAATTACCCTCTTGAAAAAATAACCCACAGGTGAATTGTTACAAAGTGATTTCTTTGTAAAGAGTTTTTTTTAAAATTATTTTTGTTACCGTGGATGTAAGAGAACATACAAAACATGTGGGTCAATATGAATAAATTAGGGTTATCTATGATCATGTAGCATGTTACAGCTGCATTAGGATATAATGCACATGTAACAGATTTTTTTATAAGTTTATGCAAGTTGAGTTTGTCTATGTACTGTATGTTAAATGTAGTGTATGTTAAATGTAGTAGGGGGGGGGGGGAAAGAACTGTATGTTAAAAGGCATTTTTTTAAAACAAAATATTCAACAAAATTTTGCTAATTTATCTACAAAGTTATTATGGTTGAAGTTTTTTTGACAAAAGTTTACCTTAATAATATATTGCAGTTTATGGTTTGAAAGCCATAGTTGTTACTTTGAATTTCAATATGTTATTTTTTTTTTAGCTTTGGATGGGGTCACATCCTTCTTTTCCTTCTGTTGTTAGAAATGAAAAAGGGTCTATTCCTCTAGCAGATTTAATTAAATCTGATTCAAGCAAAACTTTAGGTGTAAATGTTGCAGCCAAGTTTAATGGAGAACTTCCTTATTTGTTCAAGGTATTGTCTATAGATAAAGCCCTTTCCATTCAGGCTCATCCTTGCAAACAACTTGCTGAGAAACTTTTTAGAGAGCAGCCGCATATCTACAAAGATCCAAATCATAAACCAGAAATGGCTATTGGTATTTTTTTTAAATATTTTTTATTTTTATTTGTTCATATTTAACCAAATATATACTTAAAATATAGCACAACTCCATATAAATTCCAAAATCCCACAAGCCTGTGTTTATTATTTAGCCTGTGTGTTATGTATGTGTTTTCTTTATTCATTTCTCAAGTTTTCTCTTCAAAAAGTGTTGTCTTAATTATTTTTCATTTGTTTAAATTTTTTTTATTCTTATTTTTTTAATGGACTCAATGCCGGGTACCTAGTTTTAAACCTTTTTTTTAATACATGGTACCTGGAATTGGGGACGGGGCATATACTGATTCCGACACACCTCTAATATGTGGTACATTGTTGAATTGGATCGAAAAGTGGCTTTCATATCAAAAACAATGTGTAGTCATAAAAGTACATATATCAAATTGGGTACCTGTTTTAATTGGAGTTCCAAAAGGATCAGTTCTAGGACCATTATTATTTGTCCTTTTTATTCATAATCTTCCAAACAACATTGCGCATCACATCAAATTATATAAAGATGATATGCAAAATCATTGGCATCGTCAAATCTGAAAAAGATTTTTCAATTTTACAAGATGACATTGAAAGACATGCACCAGAATTTGGCGCATGTGTTTCAATGTGGTAAAATGTAAGGTTATGCACATAGGCTATGGAATCAAAATGTCAACACAAGAATATTCAATGTGCAGCGATGATGGATCTCTAATACAACTTGCAGTTACCTAGAACAAAAGAGACCTTGGCATCATGGTCTCAGACAACTTAAAACTAAAAAATCAAGTTGAGAAGCAGCCTCAACAGCCAATCAAGTACTTGGTAGGCTGAAAAAAGCATTCTGCGGTCTGTGTATCATTGTTTGGTGAATAATGTATATAGCTTATATTTCCCAACATCTCGAGTTTGCGGTACCAGCCTGGTGGCCGTTTTTAAAACATGATACTGAAACACTAGAAAAAGTGCAGAAGTGTATGATAAAAATGATTGCACTAATAAAGCACTTACCATACACCCAAAGACTGCAAATATTGGGTTTAAGGACTCTTGAAGACGGCAGAACGCGAAGCGATCTGATTCAAAAATTTCATGAAATATTGATGAAGTCCATTTTCATGTGCCACAGACTTAACACTTAGCTAAATTGATTTACAATCTTCGAGGTCAGATTCAGTGCCTTGATAAATAAAGAGTAAATCATTGTATTGAAAAAGAACAGTTTTTTACAAATCAAATTGTATGTCACTGAAGCACTCTCCCGCAAAAAACCATTGATTCACAAAGTGTCAACTGCTGCAAAACCTTTTTTATTTAACTACCGCTGCTTTGTATGTAGCACAAGGCTGTCAGAACAGAAGAACCTGGTGCTGCCCCTCTTTATTGATCATTTTTGTTTTTATTTTAGTTTTAATTTTTTGTTGTAATTTTTTTATCAATTACTGAATAAACTAAACTAAACTGTAAATGTAGAAATTTGTTTTATTTGTTAACATGCACATACTAAATGTAAAAATTTGTTTTATTTGTTAACATACATATAAAAGTAAAAATTAAAAATCTGGGAAAAATTATGTACAGATATTACTAATTTGTTGTTAAAGTTAAAATCTTGAAACTTAACAAATAAAAAAACATGTAAATAAAATAACATACTATATTAACACCATAATATACTATATTAATTTAATATGTGTATGTTAACATACACATATTAAATGAAAAAATTTGTTTTATTGGTTAACATGAACATACCAAATGTTAAAATTTGTTTTATTTGTTAACATACACATACTAGGTAATTAAAGTACAGGTATTACTAATTTGTTATTACAGTTTTAGTTAATTGTTACAAGTTAATTTATTGCAGTTTTATACTGGAAACAAATAAAATAAACGTAAATAAAATATCACTGTATGTCATAAATAAAAAACATTTTAATTCTTTTAACTATAGTTATAAGTTATATAAATAATGAATAATACTGTCAAATAATAAGTTATAAAAGAGCAATATTTTTATTAATATGTTGGATTTGTTATCATTTTTTATTATTCAATATTGTTATCATTTTTCCTCAAGTCATACTAACGAGTTTTTATGTCAGTGAATTCAATAATTTCCTCATATAACGTCATACTAACGAGTGTTCAGTGAATTTGTGTCAAAGCGTTTGTGTCATACTAACGAGTGTTCAGTGAATTCAAAAATATACACAAGACTAAAGATGTATTGACACATCAGACTTGATGCATTTAGAAAACAAATTTATGAAGTAGTTAAGACATTCATAATTTTATTTTATATGTTAATGTGCTTAATGAGCTTTAAAGTATTAAAGATTTTAGGTTTTCCTAAAACTTCAATATTTAAATGTTAGGGTATCAGGAAATATTTTAGTGTTTGTAAGTTACTCAAATAAGTTGCTTTATATGTTAAGATATTTATTTGCATATATAACTTACTATCATTGTCATCATCATCATCATCATCATCATCATCATCATCATCATCATCATCATCATCATCATCATCATCATCATCATCATCATCATCATCATCATCATCATCATCATCATCATCATCATCATCATCATCATCATCATCATCATCATCATCATCATCATCATCGTCATCATCATCATCATCATTATCATCATCATCACCATCATCATTATCATCATGTATATATATACATATATAAAATATATAAATATAATATACATGTATATATATATATATATATATATATATATATATATATATATATGTTTATATATATATATATATATATATATATATATATATATATATATATATATATATATATATATATATATATATATATATATATATATATTTATATTTATATTTATATATATTGAAATGTTATATTGAAATTAATTTTTCACGCAAAATAATTTTTATTTATATTTTTCTTAAAAGCAATAACCAAGTTTGAAGCATTATGTGGATTTCGACCAGTTGAGGAAATATTATCATTTTTTAAAGAGGTCAAAGAATTACTTCCAATAGTGGGGCAGAGTGCAGTTGATAATCTTATTAGTGCAGAAATGGCTTCAGGTATAAATTTTTTTTTTCAAAATTTCAAAATGTATCTTTTAATTTTTTTTATTGAATTTTTAAGGTTATTCTTAAAAATTTGAGTTAGCAAAAAAATTTATGTTCATAACTTTAAATTTAAATTTATTCCAGACAAGCGAGTCAAACAGTCTGCTGTTCAGCATGCATTAAAAGAAGTTATAACATGTTTAATGAAATGCGATGAGAAGGTTATAGAACACCAGTTATCGAGCCTTGTTGCACGTTTAGAAGATTGTCACAAAAACGGAGAATCTACTGCCCCCTACTTAGGTCATTTGCTGTTACGCACTCACAAACAATTTCCGGGTGATATTGGATGTTTCTTTGTATATTTTTTAAACCATCTTGTTTTGGAACCTTATGAAGCTATCTTCTTTCAACCTAATGTTCCCCATGCATACTTGGTAGGAGGTATATCACATTTTATATATTTGATAAATATATATATATATATATATATATATATATATATATATATATATATATATATATATATATATATGTATATATATATATATGTATATATATATATATATGTATATATATATATATATATATATATATATATATATATATATATATATATATATATATATATATATATATATATATATATAAATTTATAAAAATTTCAAAATTATTTATCTTTTTCTTATCAAAACTTTAAAAAAAAAGTTTAATGAAAAATTACACTTTATTTCTTGTTATAAAATTATTGCAATAAATGCAATAAAACATAAAATAATAAATTATGTATAAAATATTTTTTATTTTTTAAATTTTTTATAAAATTTTCCTTCTTTTGAGACTCATCATGACATACATTTGAAAACAGATAAAACTAATAATAACCAAGAAAATAATATTTTTGGATTTAAAACAAAAAATATCCCACCTTTTATTCCTGATTTAGAAAATTTTGAAAACAACTTACTGTACTTAAAACAATAAATTTTTCAGTATAAAAGTAACAAGTTAAATGTTAGAAAAAAAAAATCACAGCAAAGTATTAATACTTAGGTTTTTGTTGATAAAACATTCAACATTTACCAATTTAAAACAGAAAACTAGGAGAAAATCCTACACCATAATATTACTAGTTCTTATTAAAAAGCCCTTAAAATTTGTAAAATACTTTTTATTTATAATCCAAAAATGTTGCTCATCATTTACCTCTGCCAAAATATAACTAGTTTGAAAAAACTCAATAGTTGCTATCAGCTATCAAGATATCAGTTACCAATGCAAAGATTAAAGATAAAAAGAAAATTTTTTGAACATTAAATATAAGGAAAATTTAAATCTTTAAACAATGATTTAAAAAATATAATTTGTAACATCATCAGTAAAATATGTTGTCACCACATAAAAAATGCAAAGTTAAAAAGTTACACATTTGATTTGCCAATTTATTAATTTTGAAAAGATATGACTTTACCATTGTTATCAGGTATTAAAATTAATCACACAAAATAAAAAGGACAATAAGTAAGTTTCACATTCAAATTTTATGGAATATATACTTATATTGAAAAAGATACATGTAACTTTACCACTGGTTCTAAATGTTTCCAACACTAAAGAATACAAAATAAAAATGTATATATAATTTAGAATATAATTTGGATAAAATTTATACAATTTATATTCATATTAAAATAATGTACAAAAAAACTATACTAGTCGTAACATATGCAGATACAAGTACTATACTAGTAGTAACATATGTTACTACTAAATAAGTTTTGCAGCTCGTTTATGTTTCGAGATTAAGATTTAATTTCAACTTTGTCAAACAATGCTGGTGAACACAGAAACAATTTAAATATATATCATTCCAGATTCATAGTATGATCCTAAAACATTATATATTGCATGTTGACCCCTGCCTTTTACTCCTGCTTTACTACCACATTAATTATTATCAAAATAACTAAAGTTAACACAAGGTAAATAAATAATAATGTTAAATATTTTTGTTTTGTTGAACAAATGCAAGATAATAGAAAACTCACATTAATTTTGTAAGTTATAACAGTTTGTAACATTAATTTTGTAAGTTACTTTTATTGTTTTTGTGGTTATTTTAGATAAATAATATTTACTTGCATAATGTAGCATCTTTATTTTTAAGATTTATTTGTTAGTGTTTTGAAATGCATTTATGCATATAATTTGAACACTCGTGTTCGCCTGATGCACAGTGGGTCAGTAGGTGGACAAAATAGGAAAAATTTTAGTTTTCTAATCTTGAAAACTTATTAAATTTTAGTTTCCATATATATTAAAGGGATCCCAAACTCCCAACACATGTTGTGTTCATATTAAAGATAATGTTAAAAAAAATTGTTTGAACCAAATTTTTTTGATTAAAAATAAATAATGAATGCATACCGTGAAAAACAAATGTTGTTGTTTTTGCCGAAGCTCGTCTTCTCCATATTTTTGAACTAATCGGAGTCTTCAAATTATGCGTCGCAATCTACAGACTTTGGCAATTCCTTTGAAGCGTGTTTAATTCATAAAAGTTTTAGTATTTGACGTCACGGTAGACTTTTAACAAAAGAAAAGTGTAATTATTAAAATTAGAAAACAAAAATTAAACTAAGCTGCGTTTTTCTACTGTAGTATTTTTTTAACATACAGCAAAACAAAATTTGTATTATTTTTCCAAACATCGCAAAAAAAAATTTTGTAAAAAGTAAAAACACAATTGCAATTAATTAATTGCAACACAAGTCGGCACTATAAATTTTGATTATAAGTTTACTGTTCAATTCTTAATTATTTTTATTTAAACAATGGGAACTATTTTCTAACTTCTCTGGTTATTTTTACGCTATGACAATTTTTTGTTTTTCCGTCGAAAAAAAGTATTTGTTAACAATTACTTTCATAAACTGACAGTATTAATTAGAGATATTTAATGAACTGTTAACTTTTTTCATTATAAAATTTTTTGATCACGCTGATTTAATTTAAATTGCTAAATTTGCTGAATTGGATACGGATAAAAAGGAAATACCAATTTATTTTACATTTGATTTTTGATAATGAAATTTTTATAATGTCAGCAACTCCATACCAATTAGAACCTGTTAAGATTATGAAAAAAAAGTACAAGAATACACTAAGCAATACAGTTGACAGTAGTATCAGATATGAAAATTCGTGAAAAGATTTGTGAGATCCTGATTTTGCATTAAAAGTACAATTAATTGCAACACAAGTCGGCGCTATAAATTTTGATTATAAGTTTACTGTTCAATATTTTATAACCATCAAATAAAAAACATGAAGTTTGTATATTTTTGCCCGTTTTATACAACTAATATTTAACAAAAATACGGAGAAATTATTATTAAATAACGCAATAATTAACACATTTATTTAAGGCAATAATTCAAGATAGATGGTAATTTAAATTGTTAAAATGTCATAACACGCATTAAAAAACATATTATATTTGGTATTTCCAAATTTGTGTCGTATTTGGCATTTGTCTCTTAACATGAAAAATTAAAAAATTTTTAAAAACACAATTAACAAATACAAATTTTCAAGCAATTTTTCAAGCAATTAAACTTTTATTTCTCTCATCTAAAAAAAGAACGAGTGAAGCAAAAAAAAAATATATTCTATACAACTCTTACTCATTCAAAGTTTAATTGCGCGAAAATTTTCTTTCTCTTTTGTTCTACTCTTTTATAAAAAGAGCGCGCGATGAAATAAAAACTTTTCTTTTTTAACTTATAATTATAGTTTGTGATAGAAATAAATCAACAATGAGCAAAGCAACGAACAGATTAATCTGGAGCTATTTTGATATTTATGAAAATAATCAACATAAACAACATTACCAACAATAATTACCAAATAAACAACACAATCTCGCATAATTTTAGGGGCATTTTTTTTTTATTGCTTAGACGTTCTAAATAATAAGTAAATTTAGTTCAAGTTAATAATTATTAACTTGAACTAAATTTACTTATTATTTAGAACGTCTAAGCAATAAAAATAAAATGCCTTATTTTACATTGATTATAATTAATGTAAAACAATTTTTGAGATAATAAATATTCATAATTTATAAACATTAAATATATGGCGCAATAACAATTTATAGTAACGAACCAGCATGAAATATTTAAGGTTTTTATTATCTTTCTACATATTAAAAGTAGAAAAATAAAAAACTAAACAAATAATCAAAAAAACTTCGACTAAAAATAAACAAAAATATTTCTAGAGTTTCTTTTGTTAAAAGTCTACCGTGACGTCAAATACTAAAACTTTTATGAATTAAACGCGCTTCAAAGGAATTGCCAAAGTCTGTAGATTGCGACGCATAATTTGAAGACTCCGATTAGTTCAAAAAAAAGGAGAAGACGAGCTTCGGCAAAAACAACAACATTTGTTTTTCACAGTAAGCATTCATTATTTATTTTTAATCAAAAAAATTTGGTTCAAACCTTTTTTTTTAACATTATCTTTAATATGAACACAACATGTGTTGGGAGTTTGGGATCCCTTTAAGTAAAAATTTATTCATAATTTATTTCTATTAAATCTCTTAGTTACTAGGACTCTGAGCATTTGATTATTGAAATTTGAAAAAAAAATTATAATTATAAATATGTAATATTGGTGACATCAATGTTGTGTGATATTTCAATTATATCTGCATTGTCAAAACACAAAATTAGTACATTTTAGAGTATTCAGAGATTAGAAAAGCCATTGCGCGGAATAAATTTCTCATAGCATATTATCTCAGTTATATATAAAAAAACAGCAACTTGAAGTTATTTATTTTTTGCTGCACTATAACTAATAATTGACACAATTTACCAAGTGCTGTTTAATATATATTTAAGCTATATGATGCTTTAATCAAGTTTCCATTGATTGCTTGTCTCCTTAAGTCCCCATTCAGATTTCATACATGTTTTAATTTGGTTGCTATGGTACTTAACTTTGCATATCAACTATCGAGTTTAACATTAATGTTATTTTAACAATTTTTATTTGCGCTAAGTACACCATATTGGGCGTGTGTATTAAAATGAGATTCACACTACTTATAAAGGAATACTTATAAGTTTATCTGGCTTGCTTGAATCTTGTTCATCAATGCAAAAAATCATTTGAATGATTTTTTTCTGATAGTAAGAAATTAAGAGATGAATCTAATATTATTGCTGCCAAGAACATTTTAAGTATTTTAAATACTAATAACGTAAGTAAATATTCAGCAGACAAAGTACTGGCCAGTCTGTTATTTGATGGCAGTTTGACCATAGCTTCTTATCAATTGATCAGAAGTGGAGCCTTGGAGAAGGACTATAACATCTACCCCACTTACAATGTCCTTAGGGATGTAAAGTTGAAATATTATTCTGCAAATA